GGCAGGGGAGTTGGACTAGATGATCTTTCGAAGTCGCTTCCAACCCCTAACATTCTATGCTTCTATGATTCTATACTGCTGCAGGTGCGCTTGGCAATAGCCGAAAAAGCCCTGAAGTGCGAAGAGCACGATGTCAACCTGCCACTGAGCGAACACAATGAGCCATGGTTCATGCGCTTAAATTCTTCTGGAGAGGTGCCTGTCCTGATCCACGGGGAAAACATCATCTGTGAGGCAACGCAGATTATCGATTACCTCGAAGCAACATTTGTAGATGGTAATCCTGCAGGTGTTTCAATGTCAAATCCTTCCCTGCATACCTGTGGTGTTGACACCAGCGCCATATCTCCACAGCTTGGTTCATTCAGGACCGGGAAATTTTTATAGTCTCACAAGTCTCATCAGTGATATAGAGAGTGGGGTCAAGCACACCCTCAGCATGTTTGCAGGTGACATCATGCTGAGTGGTGAGATTGATGTGCCAGAGGGACAGGATGTCCTCCAGAGGGACCTGGATAAGCTGGAGAAGTGGGCCCCTGTGAACCTCATGAGGTTCAACAAGGCCAAGTGCAAGGTCCTGCATCTGGGTCGGGGCAATCCTCACTGTAAGTACAGGGTGGGGGATGGTGTGATAGGGAGCAGCCCTGTGGGAAGGGCTTGGGGGGTCTGGTGGACAGAAAGCTGGACATGAGCCAACAATGTGCACTCGCTGCCCAGAAGGCCAATCACATCCTGGGCTGCATCAAAAGAAGTGTGGCCAGCAGGTCGAAAGAGGTCATTCTGCCCCTCTGCTCTGCTCTGGTGAGACCTCACCTGGAGTGCTGCGTCCAGCTCTGGAGCCCCCAACAGAAGAAGGATGTGGACTTGTTGGAACCGGTCCAGAGGAGGGCCAAAAAGCTAATCAAAGGGCTGGAGCATCTCTCCTGTCAGGACAGGCTGAAAGAGTTGGGCTTGTTTAGGCTGGGGAGGAGAAATCTCTGGGGAGACTTTATAGCAGCCTCCAGTACCTGAAGGGAACCTATAAGAAAGATGGAAACAGTGTTTTTAGCAAGGCCTGTTGGCCTTGGGTAAATTTAGGCTGAAGTAAAAGAAGCAGCTTTACAAGCAGTTGTAAATAAAAACCTGCCACTGTCCTCCGTAACCCCTTCAGGAAGGATGGAGGAGTCAGTAATGGCAGCACTGGGCTGCCATTTTTAAGCGTGAAGAGGCAGCGTTTTGTGTTGCAGGGGGTTAACACTGTGATTCTAAGGCATGAAAAAAACTTTATCGTTCAGTGAACATAATGTGTATTTAATGTGTGCATTTTTTGTCAAATGAGTCATCAGGGGCCAGGTAGATTGAGGGCAAAGTAAAACTCAGTAGTATGCAGGAATACTTCTAACCATGATTCAAGTAGGATTCTTGTACTGCAATTTTTACTGATTTGCAGCTGTAGTAGTGTTTTAGCCATAAGGGCTTATTGCAACCTCAGTGGTGTCCTTCTGTGAGAAGGCTAAAGGGTTGTGTGTCACCATCTCCTGTCCCTAGAAGAACAAAACTGATGCTTAGTCCGGTTCTTGGATTTGAAGGCCTCTTAAATACATATTTACATGGGTTGCTGCACAGGAATTGAAATTATTCAAGTGTCTGATAATGAAGTACATGCGTTTATGTTTCACTGAGCTGTGATAACACTGTTAAGTTATGGTGGGGGATAGTGAAACTTTCTTAACTGTGACTATGTAATCTGTACTGCTTGGACATAACCAAGGTAACTTTGGAAGTACTCTTTTTGATCAATTGCATGGTTTTCTGTTTTCTTAACTTTCTTTTTAACTTCGTGTTGCAGAGGGAGTGCCAAGATTAATGCCTGAAGAAGGGAGCATGTATTATCCAAGAGTGCAGCACTACAGAGAGCTTTTAGACTCCTTGCCTATGGATGCCTACACGCATGGCTGCATCCTGCACCCCGAGTTAACGGTGGACTCCATGATTCCAGCCTATGCTACCAGCAGAATCCGTAGTACGTACCTGTATAGCTCTGCATGCCTGTAAGTCAACAGGATATTGCATTACATTTGTCTTCAGTGCACCTTAAGCAGAATATATTTGGCTCAGATTTCCAGTTTCAGTTGCATTCCTTTGTAATTTGTGCACATACTTCTCAATTTTGTAGTCTGTTAGTTGTAGTCAAATACTGCAGAGGCTTTAACATGTAATACACAATTATTTCCAAATTCATAATATCATAGAAGATAATACTGTGTTCGTTTGAGTAGTTTTATTTTACAGCAAACTCTACTATCCTTCAATTTTTTTGGCAAATCTGTTCTATTAGCCATGTGATTATGTTGTCAGAACTGAAATCAGGAATTTAGTTTTCTTTATAGTTGCATGAGTTATCCTTTATAAAACATCAGTGCAAAATTAATTTTCTTTCTGTCTGCTAGAAACTTCCTGACCATTGTGAAGTATTTAGAAGTCAGTGTTGCTGGTTCACAGAATCACAGAATATTAGGCATTGGAAGGGACCTCGAAAGATCCAGCCTCCCTGCCAGAGCAGGATCACCTACAGTCGGTCACACAGGAACGCGTCCAGACGAGTTTTGAATGTCTCCAGAGAAGGAGACTCCACAACTTCCCTGGGCAGCCTGTGCCAGTGCTCTGTCACCCTCACAGTGAAAAAGTTTCTCTAATATTTTTGTGCAACTTCCTATGTTCCAGCTTGTACCCATTGCCCCTTGTCCTGTCATTGGACGCTGCTGAAAAGAGCCTGGCTCCATCCTCCTGACACTCCCCCTTGACATATTTATAAACATTTATGAGGTCACCCCTCAGCCTCCTCCAAGCTAAAGAGACCCAGCTCCTTCAACCTTTCCTCATAAGGGAGATGTTCTACTCCCTCCATCATCTTTGCGGCTCTGCGCTGGACTCTCTCCAGCAGTTCCCTGTCTCTCTTGAGCTGAGGGGCCCAGAACTGGACACAATATTCCAGATGTGGCCTCACCAGGGCAGAGTAGAGAGGCAGGGGGGCCTCTCTGGACCCACTAGCCACCCCCCTTCTAATACACCCCAGGATGCCATTGGCCTTTTTGGCAACGAGGGCACATTGCTGGCTCATGGTCATCCTGCTGTCCACTAAAACCCTCAGGTCCCTTTCTCCTACACTGCTCTCCAGCAGGTCAGTCCCCAATGGTTCAATGATAAATGATTATTAAAAAATCAATTCTTTATAAAAAGTATTTTGGAGATATTTAGAATGGGTAATTTCAACAAGAGTAATTAGCATTCTTTCTTTTTACTAAAGGGACATGAATTATTCACTTATATCAGTGTTCCATCTGGTTTGTTGGGTTTTTTTTCAGTACTTTTATTACGGTTCACTTTACAAAGTTGCCTTGTGTTCTGCCGACTGTATGTATTCTTGTGCTCTACATTCTAGTTGGTATAAATTGCCAGTTTACACACATACATTCATAATGGTAGAGCTAAAATTACTACTTGTCTAAATCAGGATGTTTCCTTATCTTTATATACTTAACGCATAGCCTGCTTTCTTAATTTGAGGCATTTTTCTGAATAGCTTGTGGATGTTCCTAACCAATTCCTTTGCTTGTTCAAACTTCTCCTGGATGATTTAGTTTTCAGCTTTGAAAATCTGATCTCTTTCAGAGTGGTGGATATAATAAGCCACCAGCCAGTTATGTATTATGTTTATGCATACCAAATCCAATTAAATAATTAATTGCATATGTAAGATTTTGGTTATGTGATTACACCCTTCAATTTCATATACTATGCTGAAAGATGGCTTTCACAGTTATGTCAGGTTAAAACAAAGAATATATAAAACAGTGAGTTCATTCTCTAGCAGGAATTTTTTATCAGTTTAAATTGTTAGACTTAATTGGAACTTATCTTAATTATCAGGTAGTAGGGAGAGGTGATTCATGTCCTGTAATTATTCTTTTGTTCTCACTTTATTACTAGAAATATATATTTATGGGAGATAACTTACTATTCACTATCTTTTGTTATTCTAGGTCTACAAGTATGGCATTTTTAAGCAAAGCCTCATTTTAAGGAGGGAAAAGGCTATGCATAGGTAGTAGAAGTCAGTAAAATTATCTTAAAATTTTCATATAAAGTTAAGTAATTACTGTTTCTGTAGAACATCCATGTACTTTGTAATGAACATTTCCTAGCTTGTGGTGTTGCATCACAGCTAATTGAAAATGCCTTGGGTCCATATTCAGTGGTATTTAGGCTTTTGCTGTTTATCACGTGACCTACAGAAAATCTCAGGGTGGGCCTATCTGCACTTTCACAGTATGAAAACTGTGTTGGGAACCCAGGAACTGAGGTACAAATGCATCAGACTTAGGTACTTGTAGTCGAATTTCATAGATTTCACACTGGTTTTGGCAGAAAAATCTGAGCAACAGTAAGATGGCAGATCACCTCTTCACAGAGTACATTGCAAACTGATGAGCAGAAGGTATGGTGGAGTCAGTTTATGCAGCAGTTCAGTTTTCCCGAACTTGGTGGTTTTGAATCTCGACTTAGTGGTGATGCTTCATTGAAATAACACTTCCCATTTCTTCAGTGGCATTTTTACATGAGCTATCCATCACTTTCTGTGGATTGCACTATGGCTGGGTTTGGATATCTGGTGTCATTCCTTTGGGGTTTCTTTTGTACCAGGCCAAATAAGTAACACAGAATCAGAGCTGAAGAAGCTTGCAGAAGAAAATCCAGACCTTCAAGATGCCTATATTGCAAAGCAGAAGCGCCTTAAAGTAAGAAAACTCTTTGTATTCCCCCGCTTTGTCATGATCTTGTTAGTGTCAGGTTTTTTCTGCCACCATATAAACATCTGTTTCACCTGTCATTGCCAGTAGTGTCATGCAGTGGTTTAACCCTACAAGGCATGAAGCAGTCTCTCCCCCAGATCAGCTACACACTTCAGGTGTGTGCTAAAGTATTGGACTGGTCCCACTGACTTCAAAGGTAAGTACACGTCACTGCTGGTGTTGGGCTGTTGAGCACCCCACAGGGTGAGTCAAACCTCGAGATGTAACATCTCTGATATTTTTCTTCTGTTATCTGAATTGTCACCGATATCCAAATGGTATCTGGCTGACTGTGCGGAGAAAATAATCCCATTTTATGAATAAGCACTGAAGTGTCTAAGTAGAAGTTTCTCTGATAAAAGTGTAAGCACTGTACAGTGATTAAAACACTAACCTGTATCTATATTTAGTCTAAACTGCTGGATCATGATAATATAAAATACCTAAAGAAAATACTGGATGAACTGGAAAAAGTTTTGGATCAGGTTGAGACTGAATTGCAGCGGCGAAATGAGGAAACACCAGGTAAGAAATTGTTCTTGCTAAACCCTGTGGATGCCTATGTTTGGGGAGGCCGAGTAAACTGATTGACAGCACATTGTAGGACTGGTTTAACGTATCTGATTTGAATCTTTTAGCATATACTGTTTTAACTGCACAGAACGAATCAAGACTGTTTTAAATACTAGTTTAGGTTACTACTCCTGTGAGTAGAAGTCTTATGAGAGTGCTTGATCACATTTTCAGCATAGTGAGTATAGTTAGCTGTGTAATTTTTCAGTATTTTATAAACAAAACAAGACAAACCTTAACTGCAGAATGTTATTCTTGATGTAGCTGTAGGCCTCAGTTCGCTATAATGATTTTGACCTCAATTTATAACACAAGTTTATTAAGATCTTGTTTAAATACCATGCTGATATTTGTGATATATGCAGAATTAGCAGTCTGCGTAAGTGCTCTAATCTTTAAGCAACCCCCTTCCCCACCGTCTTTAAAAGCAGTAGTGTTTATGGGCCATCCACTCAAATGAAAATTGCGTTTTGTTTCAATGGGATTAGTCTTCTGCTTATTCAGTCTCGTCCAGCTCCCAGTGGTGCTAATAGGAATCCTTCCTCTGACTTCACTGGGAGCTGCAGGAACCATCAGTCAGATCAGTAACTCTTTGCATTTGCCTCTATAAATAGCTGCTGTAATAATTATCTGTTACTATCAAGACAACAGATTTGAACCAGAGATTAAAGATCTGTGTTAAAATTTATACTGACTCAACAGCGAAAGATTTACCAAAAGTGTTATAACTCACAAAGGATGGTAGGACTTTGCTCAGCAAACTAAGTCTGGCACTATTTCCAACAGCTCCTTTGCTTACCCTGCCAAAGAGCCTTTCCAGGGAATCAACTGATACAATATTGATGAGTTAATGAAACCAACAGGATCTTAGAATTTCTTAAAACATACAACTGTTAGATGCCTCTTGGAATTTTGTCTAAGGTGTTCACATTTTTTGGGTTTGTGAGCGATGCTTTTGCCAGGTCCTGGTCTACCTCTGAGCTTCTGCTTCTTGCTACTGCTCAGATCCCTCATTCACTTACTGCTTCTGCTACTGCAGGCATCTTTCTTTCACACAGGGTAGCTATTCTTCATTTCCATCATCTTACTTAACGCACTGGATGGGTCCTCAGATATCCTTCAGCAGTGTAGGATATGCTCATTCTCTGCAGAGCCTTACTTCCAGACCTGCATAACCAGTCGAAATGGACTCGTACCAGCAGTGTGCCAAACTGCTACTTTCTTCTGGTGGCAAATTAGTTGAAATGGACATTCCAAGACTTCTCTCATCCACAGAGGTGCTGCTGAATGTTAATGCCAGTGATTTTGTGTGCCTGCTGTGTGAGAGGAACTGCAAAAGGTTGCAGATAAGGATGGAATGGCATAGTCGTGCATTAGATCTAGACTAGAGCAGAGTACTCATGCTTGCAGCTATGCTAACTACCAAGTTTCATATCCTGGCTTTCAAAATCTCTTGGTGTAGTTAGTACAGGTGAGCCTTTTCAGGTGATGATGGTTCAGATCGCTGAAGTTAGAGGTGTGGTGCTGCCTGGCAGTGCCTGCTCTGAGCCGTCCCAGCAGGATTCACCTCTTTCCTTTGACTGGAGAGGGAGCCTGGGGTCTCCATCTGCTTCTGGTTGATGGTGGGCAGTGTGAATATCCACCACTTCTTGAGCTTCTCAGGCTCCATGGTTTGGGGTCTAGGAGGCACAAAGGAAGGACGAGTAGACAAACTGTCTTCTCACCAAGCTGGTGAAGGTCAGTCATCTGATCCCTTTCTTTTTGACTTGAAAGTCTCCAGCACATTGGCAGTTCTTGAGTGAATGCCATAGAGCTGAGCAACACCTACTCTAGGGGTTACCTACTCTAGGTGATCCTGCTCTGGCTGGGAAGTTGGACTAGATGATCTTTCGAGGTCCCTTCCAACCCCTGACATTCCGTGAACAGAGGCAAGATGATAAATGGCAAGGGGGAGCTATTCAGTAAAAGCTAAACTACCTTCCTCCTTTCCACTTCTGTTTAATTCATCCAGATTTTAGAAATGCAGTTGAGGAAAATAAGTGTATACTGTGGTTTTTAAGTTATTAACTTGAAATGCGTCTCTTTTTTTCCTTAACAAATGTAGGCCAGATTCCTAAGACTTTACAGTATTGTGTGAAGAATGGACAGGGATTAGTAAAATGTTCATTGATGAAAGTCATGTTTTAGCTGAAGTGTTGATGGTGTTTATTAGTCAGCATTTTAAATAGCATTAAACTAAATGTTAGCCCATGGAGGCTTCTGCATGTGCTTGTATTGCATTAGCTCCTAATTCTTTATGCTTTGTCTCTGCTTAGAAGATGAAAATCAGCCTTGGCTCTGTGGTGATTTCTTCAGTCTGGCAGATGTATCACTTGCTGTCACATTACATCGCCTGAAGTTTCTGGGATTAGCAAGAAGAAATTGGGGAAACGGAAAGCGGCCCAACTTGGAAGCCTATTATGAGCGTGTCCTGAAGAGAAAAACATTCCACAATGTTTTAGGACACGTCAACAATATATTAATCTCAGCCGTTCTGCCGACAGCTTTCCGTGTGGCCAAGAAGAGGGCACCCAGGGTTCTTGGCACCACCCTGCTGGTCAGTGTGCTGGCGGGAGTGGGTTATCTTGCCTTCATGTTCCTTCGGAAGAGGTTTGCCAACATGGTCTTGTCGATTAGAACCAGGCAAAAGTATTTTTAGTTCTGTATGGCCATGATGGTGAGCAGAGGGCATCTCTCTACTCGCCAAGAAAATATCCCCAGTACAATATAAAAGTAGAAGAAGGGTTATGACTGTGAGGTAGAACGTTGTCACAAAGTAGTCGTCTCCTGCTGTTTCGGAATGAGATTGGCAATGCTGAGATGTTTGTGAAAATTTTTTTAGGAGGACAACAGAGGAAAGAAGAGACTTCTTTTCAAATGAAGACCTGTAAGGGCAGTGACGGTGCTTTGTTGAAGTGATTATCATCTCCTCTACCCAGTAGCTGACCTAATTATAATGCTTTTATTTTATACATATGCAGCAATGTGACAGCTCTTCACTGTGGGTGAAATGCATTACTTTACAGAAACCAGCATTGTTGAAATACTGAAAATAGCACTTGCTTTAAATGCTTGGCGTAGGATTTAAGTGGAACATAGGCTCTGTGCTTGTTGTGTATGGGAGTGAATGTCTCTGGACTGATTAACTGGTTTGTGGTTGGACCTCTAGGAGTATGTTAAAAAGTGGTTTTGTGGAGCCACTTTTATCAGTGTATTCATACAGTAGTACAGGAAGAGACCCGAAATACATGAACATCAGGGGTTCGTGGGTCACAGGAGTGAAATTCTTCAGAGGCCTCAGTAGTCACAGAATCATAGAATCATAGAATGGCCTAGGCTGGAAGGGACGTTAGAGATCATCTAGTCCAATCTCCCTGTCATGGGCAGGGATGCCTCTCAACTAGATCAGGCTACTTAAGGCTCCATCCAACTTGGCCTTGAACACCTCCAGGGAGGGGGCAGCCA